CTCTAAGGTTGAAGGTGTTGGAAAGGTTGCTCTGAAGATGACATCTAGGAAAATTGTGACACTAAATAATGTGCTACATGTCCCAAACATACGCAAGAATTTAGTGTTTAGATCTCTCCTTAGCAAGGATGGTTTCAAGTTGGTGTTTGTATCTGATAAGTTTGTTCTCTCCAAAAATGAGATGTATATAGGAAAGGGTTATCTTAGTGATGGTCTGTTCAAGTTGAATGCAACGACTGTTGCACCCAATGATGTTATGAATAAAGTTGTTTTTGCTTATGTGCTTGAGTCTCCTAATATATGACATGCTAGACTAGGACATGTTAATTATAAGTCAATAAAGAAATTAATGAACATGGGGTTATTACCAAAATTTGACTATCCAAGTGAAAAATGCCAAGTGTGTGTTGAATCTAAGTTTTCTAAGCCTCATTTTTATTATATGGATAATAAAATCACAGAACCTTTAGATTTAATACACACAGACATATGTGATATGAAAGCAATACCGTCAATGTGTGGTAAGAAGTATTTTATCACTTTTATAGATGACTGTTCGAGGTATTGTTATGTTTATTTACTTAGTAGCAAAGATGAGGCTGTGAATGCTTTTAAAACTTATAAGTCTGAAGTTGAAACACAGTTAAATAAGAAAATTAAAATGATAAGAAGTGATAGAGGAGGTGAATATGAATTTCCTTTTAAAGAAATTTGTTCCGAGTTTGGTATTATTCACCAAATTACTCCTCCTTATGCGCCACAAGCTAATGAAGTGGAGAAAAGGAAAAACCGATCTTTAAAGGAAACAATGAATGCATTATTGATTAGTTCCGGTTTACCACAAAATTGTGAGGGGAAGCTGTTTTAACGGCGAATTTTATCTTAAATAGAGTACCCCACAAAAAGACACAACAAACTCCCTATAAGAAGTGGAAAGGCATAACGCCTAATTTGAAATATCTCAAGATGTGGGGGTGCTTGGCTAAGGTTGCAATTCCTAAACCTAAAAAGGTTAAAATAGGACCGAAAACCATTGATTGTGTCTTCTTGGATACGCTATTAATAGTAATGTATATCGATTTCTTGTTCATAAGTCTGAGGTCCTGGATATGCATGTTAATATGATCATTGAGTCAAGGGACGCTCGTTCTTTGAGAATATATTTCCGTATAATATAGTATATGAGCCGATTAACAATGATAAGAGGCCTCGGGATATTACACCTAGAAGCGATCCTATGGAGGATGAACCTAGACGTAGTAAAAGACAAAGAACTTCTAAGTCTTTTGGACCTGATTTTCTAATATATTTGTTAGAGAATGAGACTCGGACCTTTAAAGAGGCTGTGATATCTCCAAAAGCCCTATTCTGGAAAAAAGCTATCAATAGTGAAGTTGAATCCATCTTGTCAAACCATACTTGGGAATTAGTTAACCTTCCTCCTGGTAATAAACCACTACAATGTAAATGGATTTTCAAGAGGAAAATGAAAACAGATGGTACTATTGATAAATATAAGGCTAGGCTTGTGGTAAAAGGATACAAGCAATGAGAAGGTCTTGATTATTTTGACACTTATTCACCCGTTACTAGAATTACATCTATAAGGATGCTAATTGCCATAGCGACGGTGTACATGCTTGAAATCCATCAGATGGATGTAAAAACGGCTTTCTTAAACGAGGATTTGGAAGAAGAAATATATTTGGAATAACCTGAAGGGTTCATTGTTCCAGGACAAGAGAAGAAAGTATGTCAGCTGATCAAGTCACTCTATGGTTTGAAACAAGCACCGAAACAATAGCATGTTAAATTTGACCAAGTCATATTGTCGAATGGTTTTAAGATTAATGAGTGTGATAAATGTGTATATGTTAAGAACACTCATAATGGTTTTACCATTTTGTGCTTGTATATAAACGACATGCTTATAATGGGCAGCGATAATGAGGTTGTCAAGGTGATCAAACGCATGCTTACAAGTAAATTCGATATGAAAGATATGGGGGTTGCAGATGTTATTTTAGGGATTAAAATCCATAAGACATATGGAGGATTAGCTCTATCACAATCTCATTACATTGAGAAGATTCTTGGAAAGTGCAAGAATCTAGACATTGTATCAGTAAAGACCCCGGTAGATGTTAATTTATATCTTTCAAAGAATACTGGTGAAAGCAAAGCTCAAAATGAATATGCTAGTATACTAGGCAGTCTAATGTATGTCATGAACTGTACTAGGTCGAATATAGCTTGTGCTGTGAGCAAGCTAAATCGATTTACAGTTAGTCCAAATGAAAATCATTGGAGAGCTATGAAACGTGTATTGGGTTATTTGAAGCATACTCAAAATTATGCTTTGCACTACACAGAATATTCAGCGGTACTTGAAGGATACTGTGATGCAAATTGGATAACCGGCACAAGAGACACAAAATCCACAAGTGGGTGTGTATTTATACTTGGTGGGGAGCAGTGTCTTGGAAATCATCCAAACAAACTTGTATTGCAAGGTCTACTATGGAAGCAGAATTTATTGCTTTGTATAAGGCCGGTGAAGAAGCTGAGTGGCTTCGAAATTTCTTAGAAGACATTCCTAATTGGCCTAAACCAGTGCCAGCTGTGTGTATTCATTGTGATAGTTAAGTGGCAATAGGCAGAGCAAGGAATGTCATGTATAACGAGAAGTCCCGACATATACGTCGAAGACACGATACTGTAAGACAACTACTCTCTAGTGGAATTATCACGATTGACTTTGTGAAGTCAAAAGATAATGTTGCAGATCCATTAACAAAAGACCTAACTAAAGAGATGGTTGTGAAAACATCAAGGGGAATGAGTTTCAGGCCTATAAAATAAGTCATCATAGTGGAAACCCTACCTAGTTGACTGAAGATCCCAAGATCTAGGTTCAAAGGGACAACCAAGTTATGCAGGCTGTGTAGAGTACTGTCAACTTTTACTCATTCCCGTATGGAGACAGTACTGACATGTGAAGGTTTAAGTGTAAGCTTTTAATGATTCTGTTTTGGGTATATGTTATACCACACATTCAGAAATCACCTATGTGAGTGTAAAGTGAGGGCCGCTTCTATGAAAAATTTGAAAGGCCGAATTCTCGAAAGCACTCATGAAACCAGGCGATGTTCATGGCCAAAACGAACACAACAGTGAGAATCAATTTTGTTTGAAAGATAGTTGTGTGATTCCTATTGTCTTGACTTACACCGAAGGTCGACAGTTCAAAGACATCAAGTCTACTGATTGACCGAGTAAGTCCGATAGGTCTCACTAGGGAAAGTTCAAAGTCTCCGACTACTTATCCCAATGCAGCGTTCTCTCATGGAATAATCGCACATTAAATCTCATGCATGCACGAAGAGTCACGATATCTGAACTTCTCATTCATGTGGAGGATTGTTGGGATTTTGGTATCCAAATCTCATAAAAGGTGAATGAGAAATGTGGTTCAGATACTTTTATTTTTCACCGAACAGACATGTTGGTTCAGACAGTCACAGAACAGGCATGTTTTTGTTTTGAAATTTTATTTTATTTATTTTATTTATTTTTTGGACAGATATGTCTGTTCGTGACTGTTCGCCCATTTAGTTTCGGACAGATATGTCTGTTTGTGAACCGAACGAAACTTTTCGGTTCTTCGTGACTCTCCATTGTTTTTAAATAAAATTCGCACAGCATTTTTTCTGCTGCTCTCTTATTCTTCATCATTGCCATTCGTGCGATTAATCTGCAAAGTTGCGATCAAAGGTTTCCTTTGAAGAAGTACCGCTTCATAAGAAAGGCGATCCGTTCTATCCTGAGAGGCAATTGTTCAAAAACCTTGGGTACCGATAGAGGAGACAAATTGTCTTAAGGACACAACGTGAATTCGTTGGGCTCGGATCATTCGTCAATATTCGGATTATTCATCTGCGCTTTAAGGTTTGTCAAACAACTTTGTTTTTTGCATATATATTATTTTAGGGATCAACAACAATTGTCCAAGGGTCACAATTTGCTCTTTTTTTCCTCCCTTCTCTTGGTGGAAAATAATCCTAATTTACAAACTCTCTCAACATTTTTTCGCTTTCTTTTGTGGTTGTTGATGGCTTTGCGGGTGTTGGCTTGAATTTCTCTTGATTTCGCTGCGGGACTCTTGACATTCGAGCCAACTCGAATGTCGGACTCATGGCGAAACTAGAAAAGTTCAAGCGAGCCCCCCGCAAAACCATCGACAATGACAAAAGAAAGTGACAAAAAAGCCGAGTTCGAGAGAGTTTGTGGATTTGGATTATTTTCCACCAGAGAATGGGAAGAAAAAAAAAAGAGTAAATTGTGACATTCGGACAATTATAACTTGAAGCTTTTTGCCGAGGCACTTACAGAAGAAAATTTGTGTTTCTGATCATCATCACCCTTGTATAAGTCGTTCCCACCGTCTTTCTCAGAGCAGTACTCCTTAACAATCGAAGACGAAATTCTTTAGGTCTTGAAGAGGCCAAGAGAGAGAGAGAAGAGATAACGTGTGAGGGTTAACGGAGTAAGGGAGAGAGAAAAGCGGGGGTCGACAAAGACATTTTCCACGGCACGGACCACGCTGTGAAAGAAAGTAGCGGAAGGCGCGATGAAGTTATGAGAGGACCAACACTCTCGGCACCGGAATGCCGGTGCCGAGCGAGGGGCAACCACCGACGTGGAGGTCCTCGTCCTCGGCGGCCACGGCGACGGAGGACGGGAGGGAGAGAGAGAGAGAGACCAGGGTTGACTTTTTATTCATTTTCTATTTTTTTTACAAAAGAAATACTGGAAATTAATTATGAATAGGATTTTTGTCCGCTATAGTTAATCGATCATTTAAAAAAAAAAAAAAACATAACATGTCCAAGTTGCGAATCAGCCCATCCGACCAATCAGCTTCCAGCTCCATCTCTTTTTTTTTTATTTTCTTCTTCTTTTTTCCTTAGAATTAATTTATTATTTTATCTCCAGTAAATAAATATAAACCTAGGCGACGGGACCGTCCTCCTCCTCTCTTCCTCCTCCTCGCCGTCTCCGTCTCTCTCCGGAAAGTTCTTCTGCAATCCCCGCGCGGCTCGCGGTCTGCCGCTGCTTGCTTCCTCCAATGGCCGCGAATCGATGGATCAGGCCCGAGGTACGCGCGGTCCCGATTCTTTCGGGATTTTTTTTGGCGGATTGGCGTTGACTTGGGTTTTTTCGCTGGGGGTTCGTTCCTCCTTCGAATTCGGTGCTGCAAACGGTCCTTGATAGATCTAATGGTGGATTTTCTCTCTGTGGGTGTGTGGGTGTATACGTGCAGGTGTATCCGCTCTTCGCGGCTGTTGGGGTCGCCGTCGGGATCTGCGGCTTCCAGTTGGTCCGCAACATCTGCATCAATCCTGAAGTCAGGTTAATCTCTCTCTCTCTCTCTCTCTCTCTCTCTCTCTCTTTTGTGCGTGCGCGCGCGCGCGTGCGTGCGTGTGGAGGTTCGTGGGGTGATTTTAGTTCAGTGGGGTAATTTGGAAGGTGGTGCGATTGAAGGGTTTTGACTTCCTGTTGACTGGTGCGACCGGGTGGGGGGTCCTGGGCTCGATTAAGACCGTGGGTTGACTAATCTGCTCGGACAATGCTCCGATTTTGGTGGGTTGGGGGGGGGGGGGGGGTGTGGAATGGGACGAATGGTTCGAATTGTTCCGCCGCCCGCGAGGGGGGTGTTGATGGGCGAGCGTCTCGGGGGTTTTACACGAAGTGAGGGATGAGAGAGTGCTACCAGAACGAGTTCGACGAAAGGGTTGAGGCTTAGGGGAGATGATTTACCCGATTTAAGCACTCGGATGTGAAATTTGATCCCAGAGAATCGAACTTTGTGCCGAATTCTGGGTCCTCTTTTCGCGGTTTAATGTGCCTGCAGATCCGGCAGGCTAGAATTCCTGTCGTAGTTGTATCGGGTCAAGCATCTGGCACTCTCGAGCCCCCTCACCAACTACGCGAAGACCCGATTTTACTCGACAAGGCAAATTAGTAATCTGATGATCCATGATTTGGGACCTTTTCCATTACATTAATAAAGTAAAATTACCTCTTCTTTTCATTTTCTGTTCATTACCCAATGACTCACTGGTTGCGTTGCTCGAGGAAGAGGTTAGGATAAGTTTAGATGGACCGGTAGAAGTTCATTCTTATTCCTGAATAGAGCATAGAAGAGATAACCTGAGCAGCTCTCTTTCAGGAGAATTTTTGTAAGTTTTTGTCATGTCTACATCATTTTAGTCCGAATTCAGTGGTCAGCACTAAGCACAATCAACTTCCCTCAATCCATTTTGTCTGACAAGAAGCTTGACTTCTTTGCCATTTTACCTAGAGTTGCTGTGCATTACTTCTTACCTAGTGGTTGATTTCCTTCTCAGGACATGCTCAACTCTACTTCTCCCTCTCTGCTTATGTAGGAAATTTCCCGATTTCTAGCATTGTAATGAAGAATATAGTTCCTACTGTATTGCTATAATTTTCTCTATCAAGTTTGAAATAGTTCACATGCCTATGTTACTTGATAAAAAGAAGAGTGGTAATGGTTCGCTCCGTCTTTGGTTTGCTAACCATTTAAAATTTCCTTATGGTGGCTGACTCAGGGTGAACAAGGAGAACAGGGCTGCCGGAGTTCTGGATAACTTTACTGAGGGGGAGAAGTATGCCGAGCATTCTCTAAGGAAGTTCGTTCGAAACAGGGCTCCGGAAATTATGCCTTCCATCAACAGCTTCTTCACAAGCCCTGATCGAAACTGAATTCCTGTAAGGGAACCCTGAATTCTTCTATTCGATGAAGTAAAACTCGATTGACTTCATCGTGGCTGAGGTGATGAGATTGTTACCTTCTCATACAATGGATATGACTGCTCGGAAAAATAAACTTGGTGGACTTTCTGTTTGCTTTTGGGTGATATCATGGATGGGTGAACTATTGTTGTATATGCAACATGGCTTTTATATTCTTCTCGACGTGGATTGGTGAATATGCTTGGTTCTTTTCACTTCTGCATGTCCGCAGCAGCCGGCACTATGGCATGCTTTACTCAGTTGCTTTTGGCTCGAGTTTGGCTCATCAGCCAGCTGCTTTGCTTAGTCGAATTGATATCAGCAGGTAAAAACTCTCCCATCGTCGTGTCATTTGCTGCCAGGCAGGTTTTTCACCTCATTGTGTACAAGTTCCAGAAACAACTGAGCCGATCCGATTTCGTTATTTCCATCATGATGAGTCATCGCGAGCAATTGAAGTAGGCCTATCTTTTCACTTGCTCTCAAAGGATGGCATTATCGTTATCATATTGTCGCCATGACATGCTTCTTGCACTTACCACGAGTTACCAGAAGGAACCTTGAAGGATTCTTAGTCCCATATTTAGGCTCTGGCATTAAGTACTTGGATCTAAAGGTACCTTCGAAACAACATTCAGATTAATATTAAACACCAAATTGTTCCAGCTAAAAGTTATCTACATTGACTAGCGAGCAACAACAGTGGAATTCTCCCCAAAAAACCCTTTCGCTGTTTTTGAGATACAACAATCTAATAAGAAACAATATGAAGGAAACTGAGATGCCCAAGATTACAAAGCCGCTGCGCGCAAGTCAAGTGGCTGAGAGAATTCTCCTTATCATCCAAACTGAGAGCGATCCTACTCCACTTGAAGCCTCCTTTGCAGCGAAAACGACTTCTTCTCAGTTCTCATACTTAAGTTACTAGTGAAAAGTTATCTCCACCAGATTTTTACCCCATCTTGAACTAAAGGTAGAAAAGAGAGGCAAAAAGCTAAAAGTAGGGACACAAGGGACACAAGGAGCTTCTTATGGGATTGACATGCATTAAAATTGAATGGTCAACTATGAAATCTCCAGTTTTCTAGATGGTTTCTCATAAATGAAACACCATGACACAAACTGTCAAAAATGGACCAATCTCCCACATACTTAAGAAACCAAAAGGCCACCTTCTCTATTCCAACGCATGCAGTCAATTGGCACTAAAAGTTACAGCAAGCAGCTTGCGCAGCATTAAGGATTTGCCACACCTGCTTCAAAGATTTCACAACTCCAACTTTCATTGGTAACTTTATGGAGGAAAATGCTCAGCACTCATTGAAGGAAAACCAGGTTGTGCCGTTCTCATTCCTCGTAGTAGACTCTTTGCAGCCTCTTTCTCCTGGATTCGTAAAAACGAAATAAATGGAAAAAATCAATCAATAATGCTAGCGAGCAATATGGTCTTCCAATATACAGCCAGAGCATAACTTACCGGGCCAGTATAATCAAGAAGACGGGTGCAATACACCTCCGCTTCCTCAAATCTCTTCTGGTCTTTGCAGTGTGTGGCAAGAAAAAGCAAAGCTTCAACCATATTAGGTCCGTCCCTCTCTTCAGCTTCCATCCGCTCCAGATCCTTTTTGTAGTAAAAAGCGGCTTCTTCAGAACGCCCAAGATCACAATGCAACTTTGCTAGCTGGTGAAGAGCAATTGCTTCCCTGTCATTACAATTCGCTGCCCTCCTGTAACACTTGATTGCCTCTTCTAGCATATGAAGCTGCTCAGTTTCATAGCACTGAGCCATAGCTATCCATAAGCGAGAATCACTTGGCTGCAAGAATACAGATTTTCTGAAATAATGGAGAGCGTAGAAAGGCATGCCCATCATCTCATAGGCCTGTCCTAAACCATACCAGGCTCGGTAATCACACGGATTTATATCTACAGCCCGCCGATAGGCATCAACAGCCGCTGGAGTGTTCTTCATCTCAACGTATTCATGACCCATAAGAGTCCAAGCAGATAAACAATTCTTATTCAATTTAAGGGCCCTCCTAAAATACATAACTGACTTCTCATGTTGGCCTTTCAAGCTATAATAATTTCCAATTATACAACAAGATTCTGGTCTGTACTTATCAGTCATAAATACCCGGTGGGCGAGATAACTCAAGGCAGAACAGCATTCCTTAGCATAGAGTACATTGGAATACATATCCATGTCCTCCACTCGGTACGGATCATTTCTCAGGAGTTCTTCAAATATCACTTCTACTTGTTCAAATTCCCTTAGACTGTACTGCGCTTTTGCAATTTGTGCCTGTATGTAATTACTGAAACTGAAGGTGCCTTGCAGATACTCATATTTTGCTAAGGACTCATTGTGCATTCTGAGTTCTTGATATGCACAAGCAAGAAAGAAATCCTTCATCCAGTGGTTATTGAGAGGTAGACTGTGTAATATGTCAATTGTAGTGCACATGGACTGCAACTCTGACCATGCACTCCAGTTCCAAGGATAGCTATTCACAGATTCCACAAGAACGCTACGTGCAAGGTGTTCACTGCCTTTCTCTTTAAGAACAAGACCATACAAGTACAACCCAAAGGGATCAATGGACCCATTCTTACGTAGCATTGATAACTCCCTCTCCAGAGAAACCAATTCCTTGTTAGCAGCATCACTCTTACCTAAAGGTCCTTCAAGTTCTATATTCTCTTCTTCTTTCCGTTTTTCTCCAGCCTACACAAAACAGACGATAGTTATTACTCATATGGATGCTTAAGAGGGTCTGTGGACAGTCGGGAGTTTCATTGAATTATGCAGCCGCCAATGTGAAGTTTGTTTGCATAAGATCAAAATGGCTAACAAAAGTTGTGCAGAAACTTGGAGAGGCAGCTCCATAGGGCAAGCAGGTAATCCCGTTGTTCTCTAGGTACCAAAGTATAGATCATAACAAGCAAGTCATCCAGTGATTTGTCTAACTCAGTGATAAGTTTGCATCATACTAAATTTAAGCTACATACATCGCAATTTTTTTTTTATCACAAGTAATTTTAATATCTCCATAATATCAATCTTCACCAATCCACTTGAGCATCCAATCATGTCTTAGGCAATGATGATTGTAACAACATGTGGAACTAGTTGTTGTCACGTAACAACAGCCAACATGCTTATCATAAGTGCATAAGTCTAAACTAATCAACTCCTTTGTTGTGTGCGTAAGTTGATTCTTGCTTTGACAAATATATTCTATCCAAGAATACTTGAGACCTAGAACATATCTATCAGGCTATTGTGGATGATAGTCAGTAAAAGGAAAAGAGAAATGATAGGATATAACGAGATGTGAGATAGCTCTATACAGAAGCCTCGGGTGACAAACCAGATAAAGAGCATAACATCGTAGGAAGACAGCTTTCTTCCCGGACTGATCCCGAAGCACATGAGCAGCCCTCCTGTACTCACGGCAGTCAAAGTAAGACTTGGCCAGAAGGTAAAAGTCACCATCAACCGCGTCATCTTCCTCCATGACCGGAGTACTCACATACGACACCCCAGCGATTGGCGTTGACGTGATCTCGTTGGTGCGGAATCTCCTGCGGATGCTGGAGCTCCCACGCTGGAATCTGGTGTTTGAAGGCGTGAACTTTACCGGGTCTAGCTCGATTCCCACTAATTGTTCCGCCGCCCTGCACATAATTACACTCTTTAAGAATTCCTCTGAGCTGGAACTCAGGTGAAACATATTGAACAGAGAACAAATCCCATTTCTCCTCCACGAGATCAAGTAACAAAAAGCAGACCATGATACAGAACATTAATGTTGTGCCTTTTTGATCATCTCCTCGGGCAGCGACAGGTACAGGGTTTTTACCCACCCCAAGCTTCTGACACTCTTCTAACACTAGAAATTGGAGTGCGAAGCTCAAATTTTCGCAATTGGAGTGCAAAGCTCACACTTTTTGCAGTTCAGTCGATTAATTCAGAAACCCCATTACCCAAAACAAATTAAAAAAAGAAAAACAAAATCGAAGAAGTGGACAGCACCCACCAATGTCGGAAGTCGAAAGCAGCTGTTTTTCTTTTTTCAACATTACCCGTCTCCTACCCAACACGGAAGTATTCAAAATCGGGGCTAGGGTTTTGGGGATGCAATACCATTTGGAAGCGGAGTAGAGGCAGCGATCGCTGAGCTGGCGGACTGCGATTCGGAGCTCGTTCCGGCAGATTTCCTTCGAACTCATTGAGACTCTCTCGAATCGCGGAATCTACAACCTGCACGACGCATTCAGCGGGAAAGCAGTTGAAGTTCCGGTTCTTGCAGTGTCGAGGCTTCTACGGATTCCTAGACGTGGCAGCAGTAGGAGCGGCGGCGGCGGCGATGGCGAGGCGAGGAAAGCGGGCGTCTTCCTCCGTCGTCGTCTTCGTCTTCTTCTTCTTCTTCTTCTTCTTCTTCCCTTTCTCAAAACGTTTTCGCGAAGAAGACTGGAGAGAGAGACACTGTAGTGAAGTTTGAATGCTGGAAGAATGGGTAAACTTCCCGGTTCCTGTTAATTTGAACATTTTTGATAATATGTTTTCTTTTCAAATGACACAAAGAGTCCCTTAACTTTATTTCGATGGATAATTTGATCCCATAATTTTTAATTTATTCGATGTAGTCCCTAAAATTTAGCCTAATGTGCAATGTCGTCCTTAAACTTTTAATTTGTTTAATATGATTCATGAACTTTTGTATATGTTAAAAAAAATTTAAAGACACGTTAAATATTTTATTTATGCTTCAATGTTCGATATTGGTTCATAAACAAAGAATTATATGAAAATTTCCAACGCAAACAAGCTTTACAGCTTGTCCTTAAACTTTTAGCAAAGGAACGGTAATATTTCATATAATTCATGGACTAACTTGAACATTAACAAAAATTTGGGGACCACGTTAAATAAATTAAAAGTGCTTATTTTTGAATTTCTCCACATTGTCACATTGAACTGACTTCAAATATTGTTCGAGCAAGAATCACGATTGAACAAATTAGGAAAGTTCATCAAGACAAATAATTTCATTACGAATATCAACAATTTTGAGACTCTCAACCTATTGGGGAGTTCTTAGGAATGGAGCAAAAATTATTTGTGTCATCATCCCAATATTAAAAGCTAATTTAAAGACACGTAAAATATTTTATTTATGGCTTGCCAATG